TATGAACTCCTCTGGCACTAATCTTACATTGCTTCCATAGTCCTTCCATGGAACGCCCAAAAATGATTGCATGATCAAGCACCTCACTACAAAATTCAGACAACGCAAATTCATCATCATCATGAAGATTCAAAGGATAACCAAATACTCCCTCCATCCAATTGATACTGTCATAATTTCCTTTTGGGGATGTACCAAACTAATGTCACCAAGTAAAATCGGCAAAGGACTTTTCATTCCATTTCAAATTTTACCCTTGCATGTTGCTGTAAAAAGCACAAAATCTATGATGATTCATGTTTGGTCTATTATTTCTTACTAAGTGTTTACCAAGTTGAACAAGAAAGTGTGATTCCACCAGTGAGTGGAATTTGGAAAGCATGCAGCTCAGATGCCTAAGCATGTGGGCCCTGTGTTTTGTTCCTAATGTCAGATCCTTTGGACTATAAAATTTCGTCCACTAGCTTGGTAGAGTAGAACTGAAAAGCCAGTTAAACTTCATGCTTTTTAAAAAAATTGGGACGGTGGAAGTACAAAGCAATTTGACAAAATAAAAAGTACTATGAGGCTATACATTGTAGAATCTCAATGTTACCTTGAGGATTATCATGACAAAATCCTCGTTCCCACAGGACAGCCAACCACTCATAAATTTCCTCCAAATTTTCCATCCAATTTTGACGGAAATCTCCACCATGAGAACTCACTGAATTCTCCAATGAAAGAGAAGACTGGAGTAACAAATTCATCTGATAACACAAGAAATGCAACTCAATATGTTTTAGAATATATATGATATCCTATATGTTGCAGTTCAATAGAACATTGAGAGTTATGACATACTTTAAAGAAGAGGAATTATAGAACATATGTGGTTTTAGGTCATCCATCATCAGTTGCGAGAAAAAAATTTTTATTGTCTCAATGTTTCACAACTAATCTGCAAGTAATCCTTTTTCCAAGACTAGCAATAATCTGAATTATTCAACAGGCCATTTGATAAATACCCGTCCCAACAAGAACAGCTCATCTTTTACAACAGTATTCTGTGGGTGTGTCTCGGGGGTGGGGTAATAAAAAATCAAGAACTTAAAGCTCAGTCACTCGTAAAACCTGGTGATGCCATGCTGCTTCAACCAAGTGAGTACCATATTCTTCAAGCATTTCATACAGCAAAATAAAAGCTTCCCATCTCTGCCGATTGTCCAAATGATGATCATTTAAATTATAGAGTTTCCCAACACCCAGGGACTTTGCTTCCTCTTCAGCCCACCTTTCCCTTTTGGTCATACCACAAAGATCTAAACTCTTCCTGTCAGTTATAGTATGTGAAAGACCAGGGTACTGACAGCTTTCCGCCCTCAGGTTTAATATACTTTTTAGCACGTGTAATGACTGTTTCCTGGTTAATGTCTCCTTATCAACCTAGCAGCACAAGAACACAAGATGAACACAAATTAAAATCAGTAACAAAATTTTTCTTTCGCAAAATCACAAAATTCCAGATGAAATTCACTTTATGATAACCAAACACTATTTACCAAGCCTCTTTTAATTTCATCCCAGAAATCATTGTCAACTGTCAAATCAAATGTTTCTCTGGTGACAATTACATTCCCATCTTTAGTTCTCCTATTAAAAGCACCAGTTGATAGGGAAAGAGAAAGTATCGTATATGCATCTCTTCTCTCTGAAAGCCCCATTGAGAAAAGCTTCTTGCAGCATTTCCATATTTCCTCAAGAAGATGCTTCCTGGAAGCCAATGTCAAATTTTATAAATAAATCCAAGTATTGATGATGAACATGTAACTAACATGCATTAGACTTCATAAGAGTCAAAAGCAATGGTTACAGCACCTGGTTAGTATATGGCTTTTTACACCGCTTGAGACTTCAAAAGCACAATGTGAAGCTAATACTCTAAGAATAGATGGAAGAAGAATGCTAAGTGCAAAAGATCGATGCTCAACACTGTGTAAAAGCATCTGAAAAGTCAGGTTACAGAGATCCCAGATCCATTTGTTAGCAAAAACTTGCAAGCTACAGGTACAATCCACCACATGTTTACATTGTAAAGAAGCATCCAGTGTTAAGGCCAGGATATAGCAAGATATTGGTAATGGAAAGTAGTCAAACTGAGACTGTATCAAGTCCCTGTTCAGCTCATTAGTTGGCTTGTCACTGCATTGCTGAAAACAATGCAGCCTAGGCTGGTGGTCATCAGAATCCTGAAGAATTGGGCGTGAACTCCATTCAAACATAGCCGACTCTTGGCTTTGAATCATCCCCATAGATAGACCAATCAATCTGAACAAAAATGGAACCAAGGTTGCTTCAACAGCATCCCAGCTGTTCATTTCAAGCACAGCGTCAAAGAACATACTTGCAACCTAAACTTAAAAGTCGTCCATAGAAAAGAAAGAAAGCATGAGAGACATAACAGACAGGTTTTGGACCATCCACAGATCACAAGATACATAATTTGGCATGCCCAAGGCATCCGACAATACCCAGACATTTGTCAACTTACCTCATTAAATATGTCAAGATGAGATGATGGTGCCAACTTCAGAAGAGGAATCAAAATTCTGCATACAAACAACTCTATTTCACTGGTAATTGAACCTGCATAAAAAATCCAAACTAACAATTACAACAACTTGCAAACTAACAATTCAGCAAGAAGGACTTGAACCACAAAAATAACAAAAAATCCAAAAAGTACAACCCATCCCCAACATGGCTTCTCGTCATTTTATCTAAAATGCTGAGCCTGAAAATCTAGAATGGCACTGATGATAATCCTCAAATAATACTCATAGAATGTAATACTGCCCTCAATTCTACATTTGTCCAAGGATTGAGCCAGGAGGGAAAAAAAAAAAGCAGCAGTATATTTTGTCATGCAACCTATTAGCATCTTCAATCTTCAAAACATGCTGAATAACAAAAATGATAGCCAAAATTGAATCAGAACTCAAGCAAACCTGATCTTTTCAGAAGATGACATAGAGCAGCCACGTAAGATACAATGCAATAGTCCCTCTCTGCATCCCTCTCATTGCTTCCCACCATTTTATCCTAAAAATCATATTAATAAAGCTCAAAATCGACAATTTCGTTCACTGCTAATAAAAAGATGGGCTTTCTCCAATTGCTTAAGCAAGCAATAGAGAACTATTTATGAATAAAATGGGCTTTTCTTCTTCTTTTGTTCTCTTTTTGTTTTTCAGCAAGGAAAAATGAGAGAGTTATTCAAGAAAGAAGAAAAAGGAGCTCTTTTTCCTAGCAGAAAAATGGGATTTTTGAATAAGAAAAAGGGAAGAAGTTGGTGTTACCTTGGTAATGTTGGGAAATTCATTGAGAAGAGAGGCGAAAAGGGAAGATGGAGAAGAGCTCATTGAAGCCAAGATGCAGTCCAGCATCGCCGGAATAGCCGCCGGCGGTACCCGCCGGAAGCTGCTTAACAAGGAATTGAGTATGGGGTCCATCGAAAATACGGAGAGTCAGGAAATCGGGGGAGAGGGAAGAGGCTTTAAACGGCTATTATATACCCTAGTAGACTATTAGTACTATTTCAAAGGGTTTTTCCAAATGAAAAGAAATGTTTGGGGTGTTAATTAAGAATTTAATTTTCAATTTGACCCTTCAACTATTTCTTTTTATGATGATAAACCATTGGGTTAATTAGAGTAAAACCCTAAAATATTGCCTCAATGTTGATTTTGGCCCTAACATCCATATCTTCTTTGAGTCCTTCCTTTTTCTTGTTTGCTTTGTTTTCCTTCTTTATATCCCATTTATTTCCCACTTCCTTAATACATTTCTATTAGGCATCCATTCTTAGCTAATCATTGAATGCCTTCACTGCACTTAACAATTTAAATTATATCTTACCATGTTTGATTTTAGCTCTTTTAGGTTTAGTTTTTAGTTATTTTTTTCAAAGTAATGATATGTATTAGTTAATCACTATTTCATCACCTCTTCTTTAATTCAAATTTGGTTTTTTGACATTATATTTTACACGTCTTTGATTTTCTTCTTGATTTTAACTAGATATTTTATCTCGTCGAAAGGTTGATTTTTAACTGGATCTACTCTTATAAATTCGTATTTTGCACGTGTCAAATTTTAATTGAAGTTTTTAAAGAAATGTTTAAGATTGTATAAAATAGTGAGGCATTTTAAGTTTCATTAACATTACTTTTATTTAATATAACAACTTTAGCATCATTCTTTTCAATGGGAAACGAAATCAAAGATGTAATCGAGTTGTTTGCAGCGATTACATGTGCAGCCACAGACAAAAATCTGCTGTAAGAAATTGGGTTGATGTAGGCTATTCATTTAAAATTTATATTAGATGGTCCAAATTTCTTCCAATTCTCTATGGTAGATCAAGGCATCATTTGCACGGTGCGGTTGCACAATTTTTTTTATCCTTTTAATACCAAGATCTTTAGCCCGTGTAAGAAGTGATACATAGGTGATGGAAAAACGATGATACACGAGTCAAATACTCACTTAATTTTTCATTGTGATTGCTCTATGAGTTGCATGGAAACCCCAATTCTCAAACATCTTTGAATAAGCTCATGCTAGGAACTCTTATTCCCACCTAAATTGAATCAACAAATGCTCAAACAAGAAGGGTGACTATGCTCCGTCGTGTTTTTTGATAATTTAAATATTATATCATCGTAGAATTGAAAGGATTAAATTGTGACTTTTTAAAACAAAAAATTAGCTAACTATTTGTAGCACACATTTAGAACGTTCACCTTGTTGATTTAAAATTTTTTTCTCTAAATATATTTTTTTTAATCACATTTGTACTTCTTCAACTACATTTTCATCTTATATATATTATATTCTAAAAAGTGTTTCGGTATTATTTTTCCAAAATACTTCTAAAAAATGCAACCAACGGTTGGTGTTCATGAATTTGGAATCACATAATCTAATGTAATAGTGATATAGGGTACCTGAAATGTCATAGATATGATTATACATTTCACGAGAACTTGAGGGTTGGCAGCGTTTCTCCTTTTCCTCTTTTTCATGCTCAGAAAGTGTCACTTTTTTCTTGGAGCTGACACAGCTCCCACCAAAAAATCCTAAATTAACACGCTGTGAGGCTGCCGGTGATATGTAACAAGAAGTAGACAAAAGCTGTCAGGAATTGGCGGAGACTGAACTCCACTCACTGGAGAAGCACAAAATCCGGAACCCCAGAATCAACCGATCTCAGGAAGCCATAATCATGCCAAAGATGCAATCTTTCTCAGTATTCTCTGTGCAACTTTACTTGCTTCTTTCACTAATGTTAGGTAAACTCATTTTCCAATTTCTTGTCTCTTTTTCTTGGTCAAAATCAGAATCCTACATGTTATGTTTCTGTTTGTGTCCATTTTCAATTGTTTCTTCAGGCGTCTTGGAAGTTTCATTGTCTCAAGAAGGGTTCTGCACTGCACCATCAATCTTGAAGACTGACTCCAATGCTCTACCACTTTACTGGAAAGTTACCAATCCCACCTTGTCTCCTTCTCATCTGCAAGGTCTGTTATTACTGACTCTAAAGCAGCCACAACTTTTGATTTTTGGGATTCAATTTTTTCATTGAACGTTGCATCAATTATACTGAAATTGATTTATGAACACAGAAAGGCTTAAGCAACTTTTTAGGTTCTGTGGACTAATAATGGTATGAGGCTACTGTAATATAGTATGCTTTTGGTATCGAGCTTATGTGAGGGAAAGTTGGTTGAGGCATTTTAAGGGAAACTCAATTTAGTAGCTGGAAATTGTTGAAAGTTGATTATTTGTTTCAATACTACTCTGTGAAGAAGTAGTGCTGTTACAGGAAATTAATCTTGAATTATGTTATTGGCAGACTTGCCAGGGTTCACTCGCAGCGTGTACAAAAGGGACCATGCTCTGATAACTCCTGAAAGTCAAGTGTTCAGCCCTTTGCCTGCTTGGTATATTCAGCTTGACTTTGTTCAGCTAGTTTTGTTGATAGCTAGAATTCTTTTAATTTTATTCAGAATCGGCTTGGCAGGACAAATACATTGGGTGCTTATCTTATAACACCTGCAATGGGCTCACATTTTGTTATGTACTTGGCTAAGATGCAAGGTATGATTTACTTGGTATATTGATATGTGATTTTAAGGTGAAAAATTACCTTATTGTTTCAACAAATTGCACAGCTTGCTTCTATGGTCTAGCTACTGGATACATCAACATGAAAATCTAGTCGTAAATTTTATTTCGTATCTTCTGCTGTTTATTGTTATTTACTTTTTAATCTTCAACTTGGTTTCTGCATCTTCTTGTCTGCAGAAAATTCAAAGTCAGGGCTTCCACTAAGTGATGCTGAGAGGTACCTGCTATTATGACTCTGCTGAGAAATCCTACATAGAAAAATCATTATTATGTAAATTTCTGAAAAATCAATTTTAATATTTGTCTTGCAATTTATAAATTCTACCTCCCTCTTTTGGTTTTTCACAATCAGGTTCATATTCGTTCTTCATGGTACTGCAGTTCTTATTGATGCATCTGGCTATACCCATAATCTGAATGTAAGAATACTAAGCATTTTTTTCTTTTTTAGATTTTGCAATTAGATTAGCAAGGCTTAACGCTCATGAAACCCTGCACTACTGCTCATTGTGATAGTTTGCATAAGGGATGTAATAATGATGAAGAGGAAGAGCGCATCGAAGGGAACAAATATGATGTGAAATGATATATTAAAGTTCTGATTGCTTCTATGCACAATGTGGGATTTTCTGTTTCTGTGGGTGTGCAGTGTTGGGAGGTTTTTTCCAAGTATATTACTTGCAGGTGCTCATGTTCTCTTAATTAATTCATTACTTGGGCTTCTGTATCATAAATTTCAAATATGAAGTCCGAGTGAGCAACACTGAGTTTCTTTGGATATCTTTGCTGTCCTTTTGCTTATCTGGGGTCTAGCAATTTTTTCAGCTGTTCAATGAAGTCTTGGAAAACTTGATGCCACTTGTTATTCAATAATTTCATAGTTTATGTAGGTGGATTCCTATGCTTATCTTCCTCCAAACTCAACTCATCACTTGAATTGTGAGGCAACCGCAACTCTTGTTGTATTTGAAAGAAGGTTTGTCTTTCCTATGCATCAAAGTTGACTGACAATTTAGTCAGTTTTTTCTTACTCTGTTTAATCACAAAGGCCTATTTACCCTGAATTGTACTCGTTGAATATACTTTCTAACTCTATTTTTATTTTTTTTTTTAAGGCCACTTATTAACTTTTTTCACCCAATCAACACAATACATGCAGAAGATTTATTAGATTGCTGCATATGAAATCAACCTCCTATTCTTGCCTTCTGAAAAAATTTGCAGTGGTTCTCCTATTAGGTGACCAAAGTCTTGTTCTTACAGGTACTCCTACCTGGAAAACTATAGTACAGGGCTAATTGTTGGTACAACAGATAAGCAGCCTCTTCTTGAGACTCCTGGCGAGGTAAATTTACTTTACTTTCTGAGCAGTTCCTGATCAATATTCCTAAGAATAGAAGATTATGACTAGAAGTTTAATTAAGTCTCAAAGCTATTAGAATTTCATCAGACATTATAAATACTATTAACTGAAATATTACCTTCTTGTTCATTCTCAGGTTTTTGAACTCAGGAAACTACTTCCCACTTCTTTGCCATATGATTTCAACATTCATGTGAGTTGTTACCTTGCATAATCTTGTTGTTGAGATGCATTGGCTGCCTACACTACATCTCACTTTTAGATAGCAAGATGTAAATTCTTATCTGTTTGTGAACAAGGATTCAACAGAGCATGTAGCAATTTTGATAGATATATCTGCTTGAAGCATCAGTTAATGACTATTATACTCCACTTCGCAGATTATGGATTTTCAACCAGGAGAATTTCTTAATGTGAAGGTATACTTTTCTTTGATTCTGCCGCAGCTTTCCTGTTTTGAATTTACTGCCAATATCTCTGGTTATCCTTAGATGAAGGTTTGCATTTTGCTGCCAATTTCCAAAATGAACATTTTATTTGTGATTCAGACTTCTGCTTTTTCGGATCCTGAAAGTTTTCCAACCAATTGAGGTTCTTCGCAGAGTAAATTCTTAGCATCTTTGCCAAATACAAGGAATTCATGAAAAATGAGTGCTTTTGGAAATTTGTAATTACTTGTTAATATGTGGACTTTATGCATATAAATTTTCATCAAAGACTCTCCATTCTAGACTTCTAGAAAGAAAAAAAGAAAAGAAAAAAAAAGACACTCTGTTGTACAATTAAAATTTTCACTTTTCATTTCTGAAAACTGAAAACTGTGTCTCTGCAAGAGTTCCAATAAAAAACAGAAGCTGCACCTCTTATTCATGGAATTTACGCACGTAAATTCGTGTGCAAATTCCGTGAAAAGGATCCGTTCATGATGTTGGCCTTGTTTTGAGCCAAATCATTTACGCTATACCAAGTTAAGCCAAGTATTTTTTACCTACGTGTTTGGAATCTTCTTCAAACAAGCATAATCAAACATGGTTGTCATGTTCCTTCTATTGTTTCCCTTCCAGATTTATGAATGCATCTAAAATATCTTCGGTTTTTTTGGCAGGAGGTCCATTATAACCAGCATGGTTTACTGCTTTTGGAGGGCCAGGGAATTTACCGCTTAGGTGACAGCTGGTAAGAGTTGCAATCTGTCACACAGACTATTAATTCAAAGTAAACATGTTGAGTTTTGCTGTGATTTTACTATGGTCTTATCCTGATTGGCATACATACTTGGCATTGGCTGCTTTCATGCCAAAAGGCACAATTGGAAAGATGATGGGGAGAGGGTTAAATGAAATCTATTAGAAATTTATTCCGGCCAGGCCTGCAACCATAAGCCCCCTTAGAATTAAAGTGTTGCACATTCTTTAAAATGATTAAAGTTCTGTGCTGCTCGCCAGTCGTCGAGGCCAAGGACGGGCTCGATCCGTCATTCCAAGATTTGCTGTTTGATGGTCAAGAAAGGCTTCTTTTGGACTGTAGGCAGCATTTTCGGCCAGACTTTGGATGCTGATCAAGGACATAGCATCACAAACTACACGAACTTGTCCCTTTTTCATGGAGATTTGACTGATCACAGAGAATATTGTTTACTCTAACGAGAAGAGAAACTAATAAAAACTCCAATGCCAAATATCAAGACTAATTACTGCTTCATTTCTCTTTTGTTTTTTCGTCCTTTGCACTTTATTACTGGCATCTCTTGGCAACATATTTGGGTATTCTTAGCTTTTAAGGTGCCTTATAGCCTTTTGTTTGTGTGAACTTGTGCAACAGGTACCCTGTTCAAGCTGGTGATGCCATTTGGATGGCACCATTTGTTCCTCAATGGTAAGTGAGGGACTCTGGGTCTTTATGCTTCTTTTTCCTAAAATAGATACAACCTAAGTTAATAGTGATTCATTTTGCTCCTGTTTTCAGGTATGCTGCCCTTGGCAAAAGCCGAACACGTTATTTGCTGTATAAGGATGTAAATAGGAATCCCATGTAATGGCATGTAGTAATATCTGGGGTGCTTGATGGTCTGCTTCTAAGAGTACATGTACACGTGGCGAAGCAAAATACAAAGTAGTCTTCTTTATACAAGGCATGTCAGTTGCACCATCTGATTTATCTTCTGGATTCATTTCATTGCATCATAACCTAATGGATGGAGAATTTTCAGCTCAGCAAATGTCAATTTTGGTTATTCAGTTCGCCTAACCAGAGAAATCTTGAAGAGAAAGAAAGGGACTGTGCTATTGTACAAGGAACATAATGGCTACAGTCCATATGATGAAGTAAACTTGGGACATTAAAGAGTTCTCAATAAAATTTGAGGAAGAATGTTGTATACCACCTCATAGTATTAAGTCAAGCGTGAAGTCTTTCCTTGAAAAAACTCCTTGTAGTTACCAAACCCTTAATGCACCATTAATCCGAGTGATACCACCAACAGAAAGGATCAAATGGACTCTTAACACCGTGGAAGCAATTACTAGTCAGGTGATAGAACTTTTTAGATCTTTAAATTTGTTTTTCATTGTTTCCCTAAATGTTAAAACTTGTAGGGTGAAATCTTTTGCTCCTCTCCTGTGTGATTCAGAAATGGCTTGCAAAACTAAGGATGAGATATGCAGCTTCCGTATTAAACAACATAGTAAATAAACATTTAGCAGGGAACAGTGACTCCTGCAGCAGAAGCAAGAAAGAAATGTACCCTCTTAGAAATGATGGTTCAAGGAATTCACCATTCAAAGCTGCGTTGTATAAAACATGGTTGAAATGAGGTAGAAAAGCTAGTTTTCAATCTAGTGAGGTAGCTGTAAAGGGTGTTGATTTCCAAACATATATAACTTCCTTCATCAACGTTCAACTCTTTCTAGCTAGAATGTTATCTCTATTCTGCATTTTCTTGAAAGAGTCAATGGATGTAAAATGCTATGCAACACTGTAAACGTTATCAGGATAATCTAAGATTATTATACCCTTTTAAGCAAGAAAGGTCAAGCAAGTAATTAATGATGGATCTAGCAATTTACAGATTTCAAACTTGTAAATTAATCAGCATTGTGGTATTAGTCTCAACTTAGGAATCACTTTTAGACACGTAATTATATTAGCCGCATTTAACCATCATCATTATCGTCATCATCCCCAAAGTAAATGTGTACTCACTTTCTATGGCCAAAACCCTTGCTGCCCCACAAGATCAAGATCATGATCATGATCATGGAAAATAAACCAGGAGTTGAAATGACTCCACGTGGCAACTCTGAGACCACCTAAGGATGCATCTGCTGCGTGTCCCCACGAATAAATTGCAAGGGAGCACAAATCCTACGACCAATTTCCTCACCATTCGTTTGATACAATTTTCCACAATAATATGTTTGGTGGAATACATCCAATCCAGATCAGCCTTTCCCAAATGGGAATATCACGATCCCAAAGCATTACCTAATTCTCTAGCGAAAGGATTTAGTCTTTTCACTTTCTCTAAAGTCATCATTGGTGCCATTCATTCAGCTTAGATGCCTCTAATAAATTCCCTCCCAAAGCTTTGATCAAAAACGGGTTTTGGTGCTTTTTTAATGTTAAAGCTTTTGACTGCTTCTTAAAGTCCATTGAAATCGAGCAAGGTCTCTAATCAAGTCTTCTGGTCAACCTTAATCGAATTATGTTCCAAGTAATTATTCTCAATGAATTTCATCTAATTAAAAAGAGCCAAGTTATTGATGCTAATGTGGAGCTGGCCATGGAAAGCGCTTACTGAACATCAATTTGGATCTACTTAACAATGCTGTGTAAACCACCTGCTCCTAGAGTAATTAGTCATCAAGAGAGTTTTAAAACTCTACTTGAACGTAGGTCAAGAAATCAAATCCCTTAACCTGTATTCTAATATCTAGACTTTTCTGAAAATATTTCGCTAGTTGGTGCATAAACAACCGTCTAGACTGGTGATAATTTACCGGTTCCCTTTGACTTGTTTAGGTCCCCTCTCCTTAGTGTAGAGTAGGAGTAGTTGTAGTATAGAATCTATCGTGTCGACAAAAAGAAAAAAAACATTGTGTAGTTTACATACACGTAAATAGTACTAACTTAACAGAAACACTAATTTGTGTAACTCTAATCTCATACGATGTATACATTACATAGCCAGAATTCAACAAATTTCGGCTTCTTTCTGCAAATTATGTCCATTGACATTGTCCAGTTATGTAATTCATACAGCGTTTGCTGTAAGATATTACTACATTTTTTGTGTAAACGTGAATTTTTTCAATTCATACAACTAATTCACGATTAAACCAAAGTTTTACTAGTTTACGCTAGAAGAAGTCAGATTTTTAACAAATGTTCTTAACTGTGTTTTGAAATTCATATAGATTTAGCAAACAAGATTCAACTACCGACATTTTCTTGCTGTTAAAAGCTTACAGAATTTTGAGAATAGGATAATTTTGATTGACTGAGAATTCACGTTTCCTATCTGAAAGATACATGAAATAATATGTATCCAAATGAAGCCCTCCCTCAGGTCTTTCCGGCCTTGTGAATTCCTGGTCCTTATGTCCCACTGATTTGATGTTTCTTTTATCCTATTCATGAACTAGTGTCCATAAAACCGAGGTCCTAAATTCCTGATGTTCAACATTATCCTAAACATCATTATGTACTAGCCACTGTTTACCTCAGTCATCATTTCAGTATGGTTACCTTCAAGAGAAAAGGGATCCTCTACATCAGTGCGCTTGAGTTCTTATCAGTTGGACAGTGTTTTAGATTACAATTGCTTTTCGTACTTGTGAAATTAAAGAAAATAGCAACTGTCCTGTTTGAATTTCAATCATGAAAAAGTAGTTGCTTAGATTCTGCATATTATATGGTAGCTATTGGCGTCAAGTCAGAAAGAAGTATGTTGTAAAATGACATTCACAAAACAAGTTGAGAATGAAATCTGAATGAATTAAGTTCCATGAAATAGTTCATGGAGAGTTCTGCATATTTCTACTAGTCTAGTTGATCTAATGGAACTATTTCGTTTCAATAGATTGTCGGCATTATTAAGATGGAGAAATTTCAGAAGCCACTTCCATTTGCTTTTGCAGATGCCTTCTAGAACTTGCTATCGTGTGGAAGCAACCTTGATTTTTTATGGTATCTACCTAAAGACAGCAAATGGAGAAAAATCCAAGAAAATTCTGGTCTGTGAAAGGCCTGTTTATTTTACATCTATACAAGCCGCCACTTTGTTTTCATTGTATGGGTGCTGAAATAACTGTTTCTGTTGATGCTGATTGATGCTGATGTTTGTTTTTTGATTGTCAACCCCCAACTTGATTTCTGGGATAAACTCGCTTAATAAATGTGTGACTTTTGATATGTGTTTTTGGGATGTCAGTATATATTGGTGGATTGCGATTTTCTAAAGGAAGAAGATTGTTTAATTATTCAAGTGTTAAGTATTCCAAATCCATTCCTTGTGGTAGACAAGACTATTCATCCATGAGATGAATCTAGATCACTTTGAGCACTGCTGATCAGAGGAGAAAAACGAATGGTGGTTTTACTGATTTGTGGGCTATGCATTGCTATTTTATCAATTTTCTATTGGTCTGTCATGAAACAAAACAAGTTTATTTTTAGTGTTGGCAGACAATCTTAATTAAATAGAAATAATTTCTTGATATCTTATGTCTGATAATCCAAAAGCAATTCACAACAGACAAACTCTTTAGCAATATGTTCTTAGGTGAAGTTTTGTTTTTGTCTTGTTTGATACCAAGCTTACGTTTTCATGAAAGTAAGATCCGATTCACTGGTATGATTTCATGGTAACGTGCTTTAAACTTTTTCTGTTTCTATTCTTAGACAACTTGTTAGGTTAAATCAAATCTTAAATTGGTGACTGGACTCCCATTTGGAAAACCAAAAAATTAACATTCTGCGGAGCAGGACAATCATTACTAGGGTTGAACAGTTGCATATAGCGAATTATCAAGTGTGGCAACGTTGCTTAATCCGAAGATACAGGCAAGGGTATAGTTATTAAGCACTCTCTGTGTCACGTTCATGAACATTACCTAGCTAGCAGCTAAGACAAAATTATCACAAGGATGATCTTTATTAATTTCTTGGAATTTAAATCCGGGCACAGTATACTTATGCATGCTCAAAATCTCAAGTAGAAGCTTTCTAGTATTTCCATCATAGTAAAAATGATTAACACGTTGGAGGTAGTAATGAAAAGAAGAAAATTCTATCTAGTTTTTGTAAGGAATTTACGGAGGTCATAATATTTACTCAATCATAAAAAGAGTATAAAGGATTCTGCCTTCTTAATGCCCAGAGGTCCTTTCATGCATACCAAGTTCGATTGCAGTACACTGATTGAAGTCATCATGGGCGCTCTGCATATCTGAGAACGAATGTATGAAGGCTGTAATCATACTTTCAGATCCATAAATTTTGGCTTTCCTAATAAAATATGAGTAACTAATGAAGAAGTAATCATTTCCCAAACATGAACCATTATCTCCTTATTATATTTTAACATGGAAGTCATGTCAAGGCTGTACTGGTTTATCAAAAATAACCGTGCACTGCAAGCTATAATGCTTTGCCTAGAAATATGCCTATAAATCCTAAAAGGAACACGATCAAAAGTTATGCATGCTTGATAGTTGATGGGCTATATAATGATTTGCATCAGGGAATGCAAATGGAAACAGGTGCGGGGGCATGATGAATTCATGAATCATATCCAACTCTTTCTCAGGGCTCCCAATTGATTGCTATTCACTAGCAGCTCATGTAGGATATCTCAACTCCTGATAAATTATATGCTGTCAACAACAATCTTGAGCTGAGCTTTTGCCAAAGGATTGATTAGCTTCTAAAACAGTAAGCAGGTGTGTGTTCATGGTGTGATTAATGATGGTTAACAAAGAGACTGCTTAGCACTTTACACCTCAAACCAGGAATCTGAAGGATATCACCATCCATTGAACCTTTAGACCATCCAGGCTTACAATCACCATGCTCGTCTCACGTGCATCAGGTCTAGTGTGAAACCAAATTTGATTGTTCTCAAATATAGGAAACTACCAAAAGACACTTGCTAAACTAGGATTATCTTTGTTGATTCCTCCCCTCAAGAAAAGGTATTTTGTTCCTGAACAGCTGACT